GTAAAAGAATAATAATTTATAATAAAGAAGGTTTTTTTAATAAAGCTTAAATAAAAGTAACTAGACTTTACTATGTTATAATTGTCAATTTAAAGTTTGTATTTTACTTAACACTAATAATAGGCTTTGATACTTAATTTTTGCAAACTTTAAACACAATCACTCTATGGTTTCAGAAAATTATCATCAGTTTATATCTGAAGAAAGGACAATTCCAATTAAAGTTCAAGAAAAAAATCCTTCTTCTTTATCATGCTGATTGTGAGAATCTTACAATTTGCATAATATTAAAAGAATTTTATAACATTATAATCTGAATTTACAATGATTTATATAATTTTATTTATTAAAAAGAAGGAACATTAGAAAAATGAGAGTTTGATGCCAATAATTTTATAAAGAATTTAGAATACCTTAAATCTCAAGATGAAGAATTTTGTTATGAAATTTTGATTGATTCTGAAACAAATGAATTTTAACAAGCAATCTGAATATTTTCAGAACAAAAAATGAATTATTACTGATTTTATAATGTAGTAATCTTTGATAATATTTATAAAACTAATAGGTTTGAAATGCCTTTTGGTATTTATACTGGAGTTAATAACTATGACCTAATTGTATACTTGATTCTGAAACAAATGAATTTTAACAAGCAATCTGAATGTTTTCAGAACAAAAAATGAATTATTACTGATTTTATAATGTAATAGTCTTTGATAATATTTATAAAACTAATAGGTTTAAAATGCCTTTTGGTATTTTTACTGGAGTCAATAACTATGACCTAATTATATACTTTATTAGAATAATTATACATGACAAAATTGCAGAAAGTTTTTATTAGACTTTCATTAATTTCTAAAATAGTTAATAATACTTTACTAAAAGTATTACTAACAAATGAAGATCAAGCAATTATTAAAGTTATAAATTAAATTTTTAAGCTACATAAAATAAAATATACTTTATATTTATGGTATTTTATAAAAAATGTAGTAAAAAACTTAAATAGAACTTTAGGGTTTAAATGGGCAGAATTTATAAAATGTTTTTACCAATATTTTAATGATATAATAAAGGTAACTTTTTTTTTTAAAGACGCGGTAATGCTTTTATTTATTAAGTATAATCATAATCAGTAAAAAATTTTACATGAAAATCCTCTAAAGAGATACAGATGTAAAAAAATAAAAAAAAAGCTGCCTAATAAGAATAAAAAGTTCTAAAATCCTATTTTATCAGACCAACCAGTTATCTTATTAGATTTTAATAATAATTACTAGAAGAATTACCATTATCACCTAACTATAAAAAATTTAATGTATAATAACTAGTTATTACAGTATTAATAAGAAAAGCCAACGGTGACTATGTATGTAAGAATTTTTAATTAAAGAAATGTGATTATATTAGGAGTAAATTAAAGTAAAGGAGGTATTAGTAAAACTATTTCTAGAAAATTGTGTTGATGAAGTAAATGGGCTATGCTTTTTATTGAATTATGAAATATAAAAAGATTATTCTTTGATAATAGTAAGATCGTATCTGGATTTCTATATAAGAACATAAGTTTGATCAAATAAGAATTTGTAAAATAAAAAAAGGATAGTAAAGGCATAATAAGGGTGAAATGGTAATAAGAAAGCTAAAACTTTTGATAGAAAGCCTGAACAAGAAGTATGTATGAAAAGTTATTCTTTTAGGTGTAATAAGAGTTCAATGATAATATTGTCAATGATAGGTCTGACAATAGAACAAAGTCAGATATGATTGAAATATTCATTTGATGTATTATAACGATAGCAAATCTAAGAGCTGTTGTAAAAGAAAGGTTGTGTGACTTTAAAGAATTTAATAGTTAAAAGTTGTTTAAGCAAAATTTGATTCTTTCACAATATACACAGAATTCTTTAAAGAAAGTAATAAAAGGAATCCAGTTTGAGAAGTTGAAAGGTAAGTTTATAATTGATTTCAAAATTAGTGTATTTTTTATTTCTTTTAAGTGAATAGTAGACCATAAAGTGCTTTGTTTGTAGGAAGTCTTTGATTAAAGATTGAAAGGCAATGAAAATAGGCATTTATTCAAAAAGAGAATATATCTAAAATAGGAGATATGATTGAATATAATCCAAACAGAAGGAGAGTGTAATGAAGATTTGGCTAATTGATCAACTTTGTTATTATATAGATCATCAAAATGCGCTTTTACTTTAGTGAAAATGAGCAAAATATTCCTTTCTTTAATGATTTTAAAAATAATAGACCAATAAATATTAAAAGGAAGTTTGAATATCAGAGAAGGGTATAGAAAAGCGTTTTATTGTTGAATTTTATTATAGAAGTAAATAAGAGATAAACTATCTATACAAATATTTAAATCTAAATTATGTAAGCAAATGATAAAAACTAATAATAAAGTAAAAATTTCAGCATTAGTTAAATTAGACTAAAAATGAGAAAGAGCTGTGAAAAAATCTATATCTATATTATTATGAATTAAGAGAAAAACAGAGCTCATATAAGTAATAGAATCAGTGTGATCTGATAAAAATCTATATAAACCATCTGTATAGAATACTAAAAACTTTTCATGTTTCAGTTTATTTTTAAATGAATTTAACAAAAAAACTGTGACAAGAGAATTAATAAAAGATTCTATAGTAAAATAAGAAGGACTAATTAAATATAAACTATTAGAGCTAATTAGAGCAGGATGTACTCCCATATAATGTTGAATAGTTTGATCTGAAATAGTTTTGATATTTTTCTTTAAAAGGTACAGTTTTTCAGAGTTGACTGAAGAAAAAATAGTTATGTTGATGATCTGAGGTAAGTTAATATTTACAATACTACTACATTTGATTAAATGACCAGTGTAACTAAGTATTTCTATAGAGTCAGTATTGAAAGAGCATCTATTACATTCTATGAATGTATTATTCTTTTTTGAAAGAGATTTAGGATCATATGAATAGTTTGTTTTTTTTTTTTTTATTTTAACATGCGGTAGCTTTGCACAATCTTTATTAAGAGTAAAGTAAAATACAAATTACAAATGAGAGAGTACAAAAATTTCTATCTAGTTAACACTAAATCAAAACCAACCTTGCACTGTTCTAGACTAACCTATCCTAAACTAATTTAAAATAGGTTCAACCATCCAGTATTGGGGGCCTGGTTACTACCGATCCAAAAATTTGACCAATGCGAACCAAAAAGGAATGATTTATGAAAAAAGGGAGGGATAATAAAGGTGTGAGGGGTGGGGTCAGGAAAGCCAGTTGATACAGTATTCGCTTTTCGATCCTTGAGGGACAAGTTGTGTTCATCTTCAAATTTTTTGAGGGTGGCACATCGATCGAGCCAGAGAACTTTGATTTTTTCATGTGTGAAGTGGTATGTTGAGGAAAGTAAACCACGGACGAGTGACTTATTATTTACTATTTGATGTAGTTTCGTTGTAAGCAAGGACGGAACTATGCCTTTTATGAAGTCAATAACATTAAAAGAGGAGTGTGTAGGATCAAGGTTCCAAATATCCATTGAAATGATATATCAAAATATTTTAAGTTTTCTAAAATATTTTATAAACAATTTTATACTTACAATTTAAGGGATAATAGATTATCTACTCATATACATACATTTTATAAATTTTATAAAATAGAATTATAACATTTCATTAGCCAATCAAATATTTGAAGCAATTTGAAATGCTAGACAAAAGAAACCTAAAAATCATTTTTACTTAACGTTAATATTAACTAGTTTCAGTAAGTTTCAGATAGCAGTAATAATAAATATACCTTTTTGAAAAAAATAGTTTAAACAGTCATCTTTATTTAAATAAAATTTATTATGTAATACTAACTTACATTATTCATACGATAAAGATATTAAAATATTAGTATTTATAAAATAAAAAATAAATGAAATTGAAAAAAAAATTATTTTTAACTTACTGTTTATTGTCTTTTGCCATTTTCGATGCGAGCAGTACTTCGTTCCATAAAACGTTGAGATTCTTGATCTTGTACTTGCTCAATTGACATTTTGTGTACTATTATACGAATTGCTATAAATTTCAGGTTTATTATTTTTTGTTGATTTGTTAAACATAGCAACTTTAGTAATAGTAGCGGTAAATAAATTTTTATTTGTGTTAAAAGATGCATATTAATATGCAGGTTTGGTAAGTTTGCAATTATCTATTATAATAATATAAAAATGAAAAAAATATATATTATTAAATGTTTAAAAACTTTTATTGCTTTCAAATTCATAATCACCTTTTGAAAAAATTTCCAACAATTCAATAAATTGTTCAAGACGCCTCGTTTTCATAAAAAAATTTGTGAAACATGTGTATCGTTAAACAAATTTCTAAGCCACTGGCCATTCAATCTATTCAATCTCCTAATTCAGAAATTCAGAAATCGTGTACAAATGAACTTTCGCGAAAATCAAATGTTATCGATGCGCTTTTATTTGTATTTGGTTATCGAGCATATAAAATGAGGCAAGCCAAATTATCAGAACTTATTCATTCGTGAAAATCTAGATGCTTGCAGTGTTGAAGAAATTCTTGACTTGGTACTAATAAAGTTTTTTAATTTCCAAAAAAAGAAAAGAAAAATAAAAAAAAATCACTTAAAATTAATAATACATGATGTTCAATAATATTATAGCCTGGTTCGGATAATTATGAGATTTTCTCTCTTTCTCTCTCTATCACAATTTCAATTGGTTATCTCGCGTCAAACTTTTCGCAATAATGCAGGCATTTCATAAATGGGCGACAAAGCAATTACACTGAAGTTATAAGTCTTTTGAAAGAAGGGGTGATCGATTTGAATCATAATCGATTTCTATTTTGCAGGTTCTTTTTTTTTTATTTATTTTTATGTTTTCATCATTAGGTAATGATTAATGTATTGACATTATCAATATTTTATGCTTAAATTAATGGTTAAGGAGAAGTTGGATTGATATCACAGATGAAATCTAAAGCACCAAATGAGCATGAAGATGGTTTCTTAGAATATATTGAATACTTCATAAATATAAATTCCCTTTTTGAAGAAGCAAATGAAAAGGTTGAAACATTGGATGAAGAACGATCAGAAAAATTAAATCGCGTTAAAATAGTTAACAAAGTTTAAAGGTAACATATTATTAGTAAATCGCGTTTGTAATCATATTAAATAACAATACTGATTCGACCTTATTGAATTGAAAGACCATGAAAAAAGAAGCAGAAGATTTTCTCCGAGATGAAAACACGTTAGCTTTGAAGCAGTCAAAAATTTTGCTAGAGTGTAAGAATAATACTGAAATATTAACTAAGGCTGTGGTAAGTCATTAGATTTAATAACTTATCAAGACAAGTTATTTTAATATGGCAGTTAATTTATTTATTAATCCTTAGAATAAATTAATAGATCAACTAAGAGAAGAAGAAGAAAAGCATGTTCAGATAAAACAAGATAACAAGATAAATACAGAGATTCTGTTAATACCTTACAGATAAAATAATTATAAAAATTTACAAATAAATAAACTTTAATAATTGTATTTATTTTAATAAGCAACTTGAAAAAGTAACTAATGAAATTCTAGAAGAATTGGCAAATTATGAGAAAGATGATATTAACCTGGAAGAAAGAAAAAAAACACGCAATTCTAAAAAGAAGAAAGTGACAATGGCATTTTCTACGGTAGGTTTATTTGTTTATGATATTTTGATGCACAGATATATTCGAGAAATACAATAAGCTTTTATTATAGGATCGTCATGGACTTTCGGAAGCGAAAACAGCATTACGATTTAATGAACAGGAAGGATTTTAGTGATCGAATGGAAGAAATGGTGGGCTTGAAAATAACTTTAGAGGCCCAAGAAATTTAACTCGAATAAATCAGGAAATCTTAAAGGGTATGTGAATCGATTATTAATCTAATTGTGTAAAGACCTTTTATATATTGTAACTGAATTTAATTTTAAATAAAGGCAAGTCGGAAGTTTTTTCAAACCAAATGAAGAGAACTTGCACCTTGATCAATGCAAGACAATCACATATTGATGTCAACCAATCTGAGTATAAAGGAGAAAGTTGATTCAATAAAACAAGATCTTAAATAAGCAGAAGAAGATGCCGTCACGCTTAGAGAATCATGTCGGAAAAAGGTATTATTATAAGGCATCAATTTTTTTTTTGTAATGATTTAATTATAATTGAACTGCTTCTTTAGAAACAAGAAAGCTCATATAAAAAGAATCAAATTAACTAGTAAATCACACTGATTTAAAGGTTATTATTTAACATTTTAAATTAATATATTAAGTATTTTAAGATTCTCATATATATCTTTTTATTACTTTAGCATTATCATAGTCAGCAAGAACATTTCAAGTTTAGTTTTGCCGATTTTCGACAGAAGATGAGGCGAAAATTCTTTTCAGTCTAGGGGACAAGTTCTTAGCATCTTGATAAAGCTCAAAGATAGTGTCGTATAAAGGATTATGTGTAAGTTAGTCGGAGCGAAGCGTTCTATAAATTTATTTTGCTGAAAATCTTATTTATTTTAATTTTTTTAATTAGGATCTTTTGGGTAACCTTGGTGTCATTGATGATAAATATGATGTTGCGATTTCAATTGCCTGTCCTGCATTGAACAACATCGCAGTTGATTCTGTTGAAGTTGGACATAATTGTATAGAATACCTTAAAAGAAAAAAACCGATTTAGGTTGCGCCATGTTCATTCTTTTGAATGAACTGCCTACAATGGATATGCGCCCGATACAAACACCTGAAAAGTTTCCGTCTTTTTAATCTTATTATGCCGAAAGATGATAGGTTTATCACAAATTAAAATGTGAGCTATCGAAGTTAGAGATGGATGTGTACTAATAAATTATTGTTAAGGGTTAATAAGTAATCTTTTTTTTTTGATTTTTTCCTATAAGGCAAAAAAAATAATCCAAATATAGATGATATTAGGGTATAGGACAACTTCGAATACAAATTGAACATCTAACACGAGAGTTAGATCAATTGAAAGACAACCTTCTAAAATTGAAGAGGAGATTAAGATTTTACAAGATTTTGGAAATTGGGGTGATAAACTTCGAGCTCAAAAGTCTAAAATAGATCATGTTAAAGATCAACATGTTTTAATAAATGAGCGAATTATCAAGTCTCAAGTGGCCAATCAAGGGCGGAAAAGGATACGATTAAAATTGAAAATTCTCTAGCAAAAAGTGAAAGAGAATTAGAAGAATTAAGTAATGAAATAGAAAAGCTTACAAAAGAAATTCAAAGTTTCTCGATTAAAGCCGATGAAGCCAAATCAGTATTTATTCAGATTTATATCTGATATTTTTTAAAAAATATATATATATAATATTTATTTACATTTTTCCTAATTATTTAGATATTGGAAAGTAAAAAAAAAAAAGAATTAATGAAAGCAAGGAAAACTTGATGAAAAAACCGAAATAATTAATTGGATTCGAGCAATTGAGGTTTATATTTATTTTTATTATTTTCTTCTCAACATTACGTCAAATCTTTTTTCTATAACCAATCTCACTATGTATTTTATTAGTTAAAAATAAAAACCCAGCTCGAAAATAGTGAGCGCAATTTGGTAGAAAAACTGAAAGAACTCATTGGCGAAATTCTCTTAGTAAACTTGGGTAAGCGTGCTGATGATATTTTTAAATTATTCATTCTATCATTTTATCTAATTTACCTTATAAAATTACAAGGAGATTGATGATAGATGTTATAAAGATGGATTGATTTAGCAACAAGATTCATGACATAGATGGCAAAGGTAATACAATACTGGTGATTTGGGCTAGAAGAAATGGCATGATAATATATCGTGGTTTCTGATCTCATTCTCACATTTTTTATTTTTTATATTTTGTGTTAAAAAAATAGTCACAAGAGCCGATGATCAATTAAAATCGAGTATTTAGAATTATTGAACTCTTGTCAGTTATTTTGTTCCTATAGAAGGAAAGAACTGTCATATTTAGTGAGTTTTATTGAAGAAGCGGGAACTACAGGCAAGCACAAAAAACATAGATTTATTAACAAATAATGGAATATGTGAAAAGGAATTACCAAGTAATAGCGTTATCTAATAAGTTGCATAATAATTATTAGCTTTTCTTTCTTTATGACAGATAATTAATTATTATTTGTTCCCCCTTAGTAAAATGCTATTGACACAAATCAGAGAATCCTGCATTACCTTACTTGGTGCTGCCGAAATTACATCACAGTCAACTACTGGAGCTAATAAAAACGAATTCGAACAGTAATTCTATATTTGGGCTTGACCTTTTCCAAATCTGCTTATACATATACTGTTTAATTTCTCTGATCTTGGTGAAATTTAATAGAAGTAACAAAGTTAATTTAACTTATGGTGTTAACATGCCACTAGGAATTGTCTTTGGGGATGTCGTAACTCATAATGGTGTTTGGTGAGAACTTGTATATATATAATATGCATTATGTTTGTTGGATTTGGCTTAAATATTGAAATTATGCTATCATATTTATCTTTATCTAATCTTAGAGTAGCAAATGTGCTTGGAACTCTAAGCACTAAAACTTGCCTTAGTGCATTCACATCAACATCTAGATGATCTAAGGTTTGGAAATGCTTTCCAATTTATTGTACAAGTGGACTTATCAATACTTAGCATGGAGGAAATGGATTGTTGAAACTATTAATTGGACAAGCATAATGGCGTTATTACAGATTGTGCTAATTTATTGTTATTGGTTAGTTTATTCAATTGATTTTATTACAATTATTTTGAATATGATATAATATTTAACTCATTTTTATGTAACATATCTGTCGGATCGTTAAAACATTTACAAATTCTACATAGTTCTAAAGTACATACATGTATATCTAAAATTATTTGAGAAATTCCTGCATGAGAAAAGATGATGGATTTCATTGGAATTTTAAGTTTTACAATAACTCCGAATGGTAAATAAAAAATATATTTATATTTCTCCTTATCTTCATTATAATGTATTAATGTTACTCTTTTTATCATAGGGTTTGGTGTCATTTTTCACTAACACATTATTATCAAGAATTTGACTTTCTGGCAATGTTAAGTGTTAAGTGGAATTGAGCATGATAGTAAGTTTGAATTTCTATTTGATTGATTTATAATTATTTTCAAACAGGGTTTAGTTTCTTATTATCTTAA